ACGACAAAACAAAGAAAGCCACTAATTTGCCTATTTCCACCCACACCAACCTAATCCGATCATACACAAAACTTACCCGAATTTTACCCGAATTTTATCTTTAGGAGAACAAGTGCATCTACGCGGATGAGAATGACGTCAAGATCAACCGCTGGCGACACATTCAGTTGCAGCTAAATCTTGCCGACGGTGATCCTCGCTTCTTCATCGAGGCGCAGTACGACCAGAGACCAGCTGCCCCGCCTCAGCAGATCCCTTTCGATCCTCGATTTGGTCCTCCACAGCCTCAGGTGCCCGGCTACATCGCGCTGAGCAAGTTCAGCTTCAAGTTTGGCCAGTGTAGCCGAAATGACGTCAACAATTGCTTCGCCGATGAGGATCCTCGAGGCAACGAGGACCAGGAGCCGGATCAGAATCAGAATCAGAATCCGCCGGAGCCAGATCCAAACCGACCAGTTGCTCCGCCACCCGATGAGGTCTAAGACCTTTTATTACAGTTTCTATTTTTTCTTTCTCTTGTTATTTTCAATCCAATCATCAATGAACACACTGCCTACGCTTCTCACTTTTTCATCACCGAAACCAGTTTCCTAGCCGACGTTCTATTTCTACCCTGGCAGCCACCGCCCACTGGTGTCCACTGGAAAGAAGTTAGAACCAGGCAAACCAGAAAGTTCCAATAATAATAATGCTAACCAATCCTTTACATGATCAAAGAAAATAAAATAAAAGTGCTCACCACACTTACCACACTTTTGCTCTTCGGCTGTTGATGACTGCTGCTGCTGCAGTAATGATGATAATGGTAATGATGGTGGTGGTGACAACCCGAGAGTTGCCCAACAACGACCATTTTACACCACCACAACTTTCCTCTTCACCAGTGTGCTTCTATAGACCACTTCATCTCGGTACACAGTGTAATTGGTCTTGATGGCTGTCATTCGTAATCAGCAGCAGCAGCACAGTGTTGTAATGCTTAATTACCGAGGTGATGGTGAAGGTGGCGGTGAAGGTGGTGGTGGTGGTGGTGGCGGTCTTCGTTCGATGCCCTCTTGTTCTCTCTATCTCTTTCATTCCTTGTCACTGGCAATGACACCAATTTGTCCTCACACGTACTCACACGTGGTTCATTCGGGTGATCACTGAACTTCTCTCTCCCTTGCTCTCGGTCAGAAGGATATAAAAGCCTCTCCGTGATCTATTGTTCCCTCAGTGTTGACACCGTCTCGCCTCAGTTCAAGATGGCCAACCAAAGGAGACAACAGCGTTTATCTTGTGAATCTACCACCACCTCTTCGTGTACCTTCTTCCTCTCCTTCTTCATCCTCGCTCAAATTCTGTCCTCCGCCACCATCGACTGCACGAGCATCAACACCATCGCCGGTCCGGCCCACGTGCCCTATCTCAAGTCACGCTTCAACAAACTCCGCCACGTCACCCTGAAGGATGACGCCTTCTGCGAGGCCTACCAGGAGTTCAGGGACGGCAACTGCATCGCCAAACTGACCGACTGCTCGCCACTGGACGAGGAGCAGGTGCTGAAGATGCGCCAGGTGCTCTGCGGACCACGGTTCAACGGTAAGCTGGTTCTAAGCACTTTTTTTGTAAGCAAGCTTTCGTTTTTGTAAACAAACCCTTTTGTTTCCTTGCCAGCTGAACTGCAGCCACCTCCGCACATCCACGAGCCGCCACCGCCGCCCAATCTGGGCGACCCAAACAACTCCAGTGGACCGGGAGCAGGCCCTGAGCCCTTCCTGGAGCACTACCCTCCGCCCTACTTCCTCGACGTCCACCCCGCTCCGCCCAACTCCTTTCCCTGGCTGGCCGCCATCTACAGCCCCGACCGGCGCTTCCTCTGCACCGGCGCCCTGGTGGCGCCCAAGACCGTGGTCACCAGTGCTCAGTGCGTCGCCGGGTCGGCAGGAGCAGGAGGAGCAGGCGGGGGCGCTGGGGCCCCAGCCGCTGGAGGCGGTGGTGAAGCTCAGGCCGGAGAACAGCAAGCCGCCGCTGGAGCCGGAGGCGGTGGTCCCAACTTCTTCGTCCGCTTTGGCCGCCACAACCTGAACGTTTCGCACTCATACGACAAGGCCTACGAGTACGATGTGGAGGCAATTGAGGTCTCGCAGCAATTCGACCGCGCCCGCCTCGAGCACGACTTTGCCATCCTCAAGCTAGTGTCCCCCGTCTGCAACATCGCCCCCGTGGGTCTGCCCAAAAAGGACGACTGGGAGAACGGCAACTTCTTCGGTGCCTCCGCCCCGGTGGTCTACGCGGGCTGGGGCCTCGGCCGCTACCAGCGCCCCTACCTGCGCTCGCTCACCTCGCACCTCGTTCCGAAGCACCTCTGCGCGAAGAAGTTCAACTGGCCCTTCGACCAGCTCAGCTCCTCGCACCTCTGCGTCGCCCCGCCCATCAACGTCTGCGTCGGCGGCTACGGGACGCCCCTCGTCGCCTACACGCCCCACCGGTCGGTCCTCCTGGGCCTGCTCTCGCTGGGCGACCACTGCAACACCGACAAGCTGCCCCTCGTCTTCACCAAGGTGTCCACCTTCATCGACGAGATTGACCGCTTCGTGGAGGAGGACTTCCGCGCCCTCAACGCCCTCAACTCCACCGCCGGCCTCCTGCAGGAGTGCTTCCAACCGAAGCCCTATCACGAGCACCCGTACTTCTACTACCCCGCCCACTTTCCCCACTACGGCCAGGGGGCGCAGTATCCACCGAAAAATGAAGCCGCCTTCCCGGTTCACCTGAGCCCCATTCCGCCGCCTCCTCCGCCCATGCCTGTGGTGGCCGTTGGACATGGACACGGCCACTATCATCAAGAGAAGATAATCGGCGGTGGTGGTGGTGGTGGACATGGCAGTCACATCGGTGGAGTTCTCATTGAAGAAGGTGGAGGTCATGGCCAGTACGGTGGTCATGGTGGTGGTCACGGTGATAAGGTCAGCGAGCTGCCGTACAAAGCCTAGGAGGAAGAGAAGATTGTCAAAGAGTTTTAAGATTTTGTAGATATACCCGGTCACACCTATCTCTCTGCTTACTATTTATTTATCTATTCACATTCCATCCCACTACTTTATCTATTCATCTGCTTGTCATTTTCTCTTCAGCAGTCTTGAGCGTAAAGCGTTCTAATAAATCGGCAATTGATCACGCACCACTGCCAATTAGTGCCCGCAATTGAGCGCACTCATTTCAGATGGTGAAGTTGTTGAAATTGCAGTCTGGTTGCTGCAGTGAACAGAAACAGTGTCACAGCTCATTAAAGCAGCTCATAATCATCAAAGTGGTGACTTCACACACACAAGGACGAAAGTAGAGGAAATAAAGTGACGGGAAAATGTGAAACAGTACAGTGTGAGGCAAGAACTGTCCCCGATCACTTGGTGTTGGCCAAGTATTAAGCTTTCAAAGTTGAGAATAGCTGGAAAATGGGTGAAACAAGAATGGCAATCAAGATTTTACCAGGCTGAAAAAAGGTAATAAAAATCAGGCTCATTTACGATGTTGTACCGTAAGGTTGTACTGTAATGTAAAGGAGTGTTATTATTGCTAGCGCCTAGGGGCGGGTAAAAATTGCCTCGGAAAGGGCGCAGTGAAGAGAGTATAGTGTGAGTGTGTTCAATCATCAAAGAGAAAGTAAAAAGAAAGAAAAGAACATAAACAACAGAACAAATTGCACAGCAAGAGGGGGTGAATAAGATGGGATGAAGAAGAAAAATGAAAGGAAACACTGAACAAACAAAAGCAGACTGTCGAGGAAAGTGAGAGGAAAAGAGGAGGTGGTGGAATGTCAGATAGAATTAATTCAGCCTGCGTTGCTTTCTTAGAAAAAAATAAAACAAAAATCAAAGGGAATGAAAAAAGGAGATAGAAGTCAGTGTGTGCAGGAGCAGTGTGCGTATGCGGAATGTGCAATTAAAGATGAAGAGGAGGAAAAGGGTGAGCAGGAGGCAAACACACACATTGCACGGGTTTGATCAAATGGAAAAAGGGTATGGAGAGAGTATAACTAAATGGTAAAGGGAATGCAAGAGAAGGATTGTCAGCGTCTATCAAAGCTAGTTTCGAAACACCTCCTCAAGCAGCATTCTGCTCCCTGCTTTCCCTGCTCTTCGCCTTTCGGTGCTTCTTCACCTGAGTTTTGTGCTCCCGCAGCAGGTCCTCATCCTTCAGGTCAATGTGCTTCAGTCCCTTGAGCAGGGGCTCCTCTGCGAGGTAGTGGCGGGGCGTGCTGCGCAGCTTCTGACACGTCTCGTACATCGTCGGACAGGTCTTCACATTTTCCCCCCTCAGCGTCACGTCCACAATGTAGATGCCCACCTTGAAGAGGACCGTCACGCCTGGTTGGGATCAACATCGATCAAATTTAGAACACACCTCAAAATATGCCAAAAATCACTACCACCACTGCCCTCACCTTCACAGAGAAACATGTCCCAGACCCTGAGCACCGAGGCCCAGGGCAGACTGCGCGAGTAGATGCACATGAACCACTCGGTCATGTAGAGAACCGGCTCGACGTTCTGCCGCTTCTACAAAACAAACAAAACAATGCAGGGGCGTCAACAAACAACGGTCAGTCCCAGCAACGAAAAAGAATGTAAACAACAAATGTTCTACTCACCAGCAAACTGTAGGCAGAGGGCGAGAACCGGCGGAGGAAGGCCGCCAGCATGCGCCCGTGAATTTCAATCTCCTCCAGGTTGTGCGTAAAGTACCCGCCAATGTAGTAGTCGTTGAGGGCGACCAGCGACCAGAAGGCGTGCTCTGCGGGCATGTGCATCAGCAGCACCGCCGCAATGGGGCCCTGCGCCTGGCAGTAGCCTTGCGCCGGGCGGTACGCTGCAAAGGCCTTGAGGACGTTGAAGAGCTCAGCCTGGCCGGAGCCGGAACGCTCCGCAAAGAGCTCGTGGCCGGGAAACTGGCGATGGAGGTCCTTGGTGATGTCGCTGCGCGTCTCCTCGGGAACGGATCGTGTCAGGAGGTCCGCGTAGAGCGCCGGCCGGCGGCGCTTCTGCAGGTGGCCGCCGCAGAGGTAGAACCAGGCTTGGGAGCGCAGCGAGTGGGGAATGCCCTTGCGGCAGCGGTCGCGAATCTTCTCCCACTTGAAGTTGATGTAGTAGCGCCAGTTGTTCAGCATCTGCAGCCACTTCTTCTCGCGGGCGCGCAGCGCCTTCACCTCGGCGGAGGTTGGTCTAGGGAAAAGGAAAAAGAAGGGTAAAAATCGAAAAAGCAAAATAGAACTCTAAACTTACACTCTGGTTTCAGCTGCTGTTCCGCCCCCCTCCTCGTCCTCCGAGTTCTCCAGAAAGAAGCCGTACTTGTCACAGGTTCTCTCCGTGGGCGTGGCGGACTTTCGGCTGATCACCGAGTGACAGTCCTCGCTGCCGTCCTCCTCGCTGCGGCCCAAGCTTTGACGACCAGGAGGACCGCCGTGGTCCACTCCGTAACCCGCCCCCACCTCGTCGTCGTTCATCTCCGAGAGGCTAAAGTAGTTGTCGTTGTTGTTGTTGTTGTTGTTGTTCAGAGTCCTCGAGTTGATGATAGTGGTCGGCTCGCCAATCCGCTGATAGGTGCTGTCCTGCAGCTCTTGACTTCGGCGGTCAAAGGTGGAGACCACTTTGGGGCTGCTGCTGCTGCTGTTTTGGTGCTGATTCTGGTGCTGAAAGCTGCTGCTGCTGTTGTACTGATGCTGCCGATTGTTATTGCTGCTGCTGGTGAGCTTGTCGTAGTAGTCCGGCCTAGTGAGAGATCACACACATTCATTAGTAATGATGACAAAACCTCCGCTTATCAATGCAAAACAAAATACTTACGAAGAAGGATGGCGATTGCTTCTGCTGCTGCTAAAAGTCTTTGCTGACTGCTGCAGTTGTGCTTCAGTGGGTGAAGGCCTCTTCGGCGATGACTGGTGCTGCTGCTGCTGCTGTTGTTGTTGTTGATGGTGGTGGTGGTGATAATGAACTTGGAGTGGTGGCGGCGCCTGCTGATAAGTGGCACTGTAGTCCGTGGACGTTCTGCTGCCGTGGCGCTCCGGCAGCGCCGAGTCAAAGGTGCTGTTCGCCGGCGAAGGGCTGCTGCTGCTGATGTTGTTCAGGTGAAGGCTATAGTGCTTACCTCCACCACCACCTCCGTGGCCATTGCCATTTGAGGTTGCGGATGAGGAGGAGGTGATAAAGCGGTTCTGCTTGTGCAGCGTATGCGCCCGTCGCGTGGAGGAGGGCGACGATTCGAGCTGGCGGACCATGGCCGAGTAGGTGTTGTAGGGGGAGACAACACTGGAGCTGCCGTTCGAATGAACCTGAGGTGGTGCTGCTGAACTGCGTGAGCTGCTGGTGCTCCTGCGACTGATATCGTAGCTGGCCATGGTGATCGAAGGCCCAAAACTGGTGAAAAGGAAATGAGCTGAAAAAACCGTGGAATGTTCCCAAAGAACGGGCGTATCAAAGTGTTGAGATGAGCAAAGTTGTTTTTCAGGGTTTCAGTTGTGGTGGTGGTGGTGGTGGTCAAAGCGGCGGCGATGGTGTTGGCCACCTAGGCAATTCGTGGTGGTGAAGTTGCTGATTGTCGCAGTGAGCATTTTGGGGCACTTCTTCTACTTCTTCTTCGTCTTGACTCTCCTCCTCGCTCTTCAATGTCGAAGCAAAAAGAAGAAGAGGAAAGCACAGATAGAAAGAGATCGTTGACTGAGTGATCTCTCTCTCTCTCTTCGAAGTAGCCAAGAACACCACAGTCGAAGACCACTTTCTCGAAGAGCAAACTCCCTCACACAGCTGAGCGAGAAAAATAGAACAGCAGCCGCAGTAGTGAAGTGAGAGAGAGAGAGCAGTGAGAGAAAGTAAACAAACGCGCTGCTGCTGCTGTCGTTGCCGTACGACGGCGCGTCACGCTCGCACGGAGAAGACACAAAAAGAAGAAGAAGAAAACGCAGAGGCTTTCCCTCGTGAGAGAAGCGAGGCGAGTGATTTAGAAAGGTTTTGCCAAAAGAGAGAGAAAGAAAGAGAACGACGTTGTCGTCGTCGACGATGATGCTGGTGATAAATAGTCCTGGAGACAAAGAAGACGACGATGGTGGTGATCCGCACTTTGACCGCCGCCTCACCGATCTGGCTCTGCTGGCGGCAATGTACCCCGGTCAGGTGCTGCTCGACGATGACCACCTTCAGAACGAGGTAATTGTGGGCGGAAATGTAGAGGCAAAGATTGGCGATGGAAAAGAAGAAGGTGAAGGTGATGAAGATGACGATGATGGTGAGGACCAAACCATCTCCGGTCGCTTCACCCTCGAAGACGGCTCCCTCGAGGTGGCCTTTGTCCTGGCGGCAAGCTATCCGCAAAGAACTTCCTCTCTGGAAACGCCCTCTCTTCGGCTACACGTTCGAATTCTGAAGATGCTGGCGATGCAGGATTCTTCTGGACTTCGGGCACTACAGCGGCAGCTCAATGAGGAGGTGATGGCAATTGTAGTTGCCGAAAATGAAGATCAAAAGGAGTTCAGCCTGATTGACGCCTGCCAGGCGGTGATTCGCCTTTGGGAGGAGAAGTTGCTCAGTCGAGGAGGATCGGCGTCAAATGAAGAAGTGGAAGAGAGAAAAACGACGACAAACGATGATAATGATGGTAAATTGACGAGAGCAAACACTCAGCATTCCAAGATTCTCTAACCACACTTCGTTAACCTATTTAATCCCAGCAGAATTACTTGGTCGGTACTGGATCTACTCGCATCACATCAAGTCAACGAGCAAGCGTCGACTGATGCGGCAGCTCGCTGATGATCTGCAGCTGAACGGGCTGATGTTGATTGGCAAGCCAGGTGAGTGAGTGAGCGCTGAATCACAGTTCTAAATCGATTTCCGAGTCGATTGTTGTCGTTGAGGTTTTGCTGGTGATGGCAGTTTTCAGTTTTCCGCTGAATGTCTACTGCCTCTTGTCTTCTGCCCTCAACAAAAGACACCGTGTGACTAATATCGCACCATTATTTGCTGCAAAGATACACACTCATATCACCACCACCATCAACTGTAAGCATTAGGAGCGGACCACTTAGAGCGTATGAGTGAATGAATGACTGACGATTGATGATGGTGGTGGTAATGGTAATGGTGGTAATGGTAGTTCTGCCTGTAAAAGGAGTGCTCCTGCCACTGCTCACTGTCAATAATGGGAGATCGTTTCAGTGCTTGTGGTTGAGTGTCTCTGAAGCTTCGTCTTCAACAACATCGACAGCTGACAAATGTGAGAGAGTGAGAGAAACTGTGGGTGACTTTTCAAGGTTCCCAGAAAAGAGTGAGAGTGAGAGGCCGTTGCAGCCTCTCATCTGAGGATGCTTCTTCTTTGCCTTTTTCTTTCTTCCTCTACTTCTACTTTAGTTGTTTGACATCGATCAGCAGCAGTAGCCAACACGCAACTTTACAACTTCTCACTTCAGTTTTCTTTCTTCTTTTTCATCCCGACAGGCTTCATCGTCATCGAGGGCCGCCACTCGGACTGTGAAGCCTGGTGGGCGGCAGTTCGTGCCCTCACCTGGCAGCGCATCACCCTCGTCGAAACTGAGGAAATGAAGGAGGATGATCATTCGAAAAGAATTTTCGACAGTTTCACCGAGCAGACTGACCGCTCGGCGGTGTTTCGCCGGCTGCAAGCGAGCGGCGCCGACGGCGTTCTGCGCAGTTTTCTTGGCCTTGGGTCCACTTCTTGAGCTTCTGCCGAGTGTCCACTTGTTTCTTCCTTTGTTGTTGTTTGCGAATAAACATATGAGCAGTGCATAAGCATCCTCAAATCATTCAGTTTGTTTGTTTATGTATTTGGCATTGCAAGAGAGTGAGGAGAGGAAAATATCGCATAATGTGCGCGTACATAGTGCAGATTCGGTGCTGCTGCTTCTTTGTGCTTTGAAAGCCGAATATGAGGAGGTAAAAAAGAGAAGTTTACGGGTAAGGGAGTGCAAATACTGGTGCAAGGGAGGAAAATGATACGTTAAAAGGATAAAAGTTAAAAAAGGATAAAGCTTTCGAGGAATAATAAGAGAGTAAAGGGGAAAGAGTGCTGGTAATGGTGGAGATCATCTCTGGAAGGTGGAGGAGAAAGAAGAATACAAATGACCTTCTATTCGGTCATCTCCTCATCTTCAGCGGCTGCAACGGTGGTGGCATTCTCATCAACCGTTTCCTCTTCTTCGTTTCCTCCTTCATCCTCATCATTAAACTCCGCCGTTAGATCGGTGGAAAGCGGAATGGCGGCCGCCTTCTTTCCATTGTACAGCTTCCGCGTACAGGGGCTGAAGAGGTTGTCTGTGGGCGAGTTGAACCACTTGTTCACCTGCAGGCGCTTTACCTAGATAGTGAAAGTAAAGTGAGTGATTAGAAAGATGGGGAAAGAGATAGAACTGCTGAGCTGATGTTGATCATGATGATGACAATGTTTACATTTGAGGGCGTCGAGGGCTCCATCTTTGAGGGTTTGGAACCAGAGCAGCAGCCAGCAGGAGCAGCCTGAGCGACGATCAGATTCTTCGAGGAGAGAGGCTTCTTGTTGCGGTTCAGCAGCAGCTCGGAGATGTTGCCCTTGTTGGGGTTGTAGGCGGTGGGCGGCTTCAGGCCGGAGGGCTTCGAGAAGACGGATGAAGCAAAGGCTTCGGCCGACTTCGGAGCGGTCGTCAGCTTTGGCGGACCAGTCGGCGTGGTCTCACTCTCCAGAGCCGTCTTGTTCTCACCATCAGTGCCGGTGGTAGTGGGAGTAGTGGTTGAGGAGCTCATCCTCTTATTGAGGGGATTCGAGCGAAATGGGATTTCGGAGGGAAATGGGAAAATAGAAGCCAAAGTCGAAGCGAGAGACTGTCACCGAGATTGACAAACACAGAAAACAGCAGAAAGCAACGTGTTTGCGCCAGTGAAGCAGCGGTGGCGGCAACAGCCGGTGATGAAAGCAGCCGTTGGCTTTCTTCTTTTTGAAAGCTACTCATTGCAGCGGCCGGCGCTGAGGGCGCTGCAGTCAACAAGTTGGCCGCCAAAAAGAACAACAAAAGGGGAAATTCTAGAAGCAAGTCTGAGGTTTTTATTATCCAACAAAAATTGTGAAGGGGAGAGAAATGAATGAAACAACAAGAAGATGTGAGGGAAATAATTTGTGTTTACAAAAAGGGGTTGATAAGTTAAATTTTGAGCTTCTGCCGAGGTGATGGTGGTGGTAATCATGGACAGCATTTTTTGCCTTTGGAGTAGGCTTAGCCTCCTACTGGCAAGTAGAGAAAAGCTTCTCGCCGAGCACCTTGTTCATCGTCTCCCAGACGCCCTCGTACTGGGCCACTTCGCGGCGAAGTTGGTTCGCTTCGTTTTCGCGTTGCTGCAAAGGTAGAGAGAGAGATAAAATTAGAACGATAGAAATCAAAACGAGGGGACGTTTTTCAGAAAGGAATTTTTGCTTACCAGACAGAGCGATCCGAGCACCTGATTGGCGTGATTGAGCGAGTGAATG